TTTTTTTTTTTTTTTTTTTTTGTTTGCACTTGTAGTTCCATCCTGGCTCCGCGAAAGATATGGTATTTAAATAGTATTGATGTTAGTAGTTGATAAAAACTAAAAGAAGACAACAAAAATCATTAAAATATACAACATAATACTTGTTATTAAAGACGGGTACGCTTCCACAATGTAGTCTCCAAGCAAAGAACTACAGTTTATTTAACTAAAGCCAGTTTAATGTAGTATCCAGCAGAGATCTACAACTTATTTTAATTAAAGACAGTTTAAACCAGCTTCATAGATACATTGTAATTTATTCTCCTGTTGTTGCAGCAAAGCATCAAGCGATTACTATCTCCTTAATGAAAGGCTCTCTGTCTGTTGCACCAGCCATCACCTCCTCAGTGATTTCTTTCTTAACTGCAATCAATGAGGGGAAATTTTAGTGCAAACATAAGGAAATTTTTTGTCTTGCCAGATTCAATCTGTACGGCAAGATGTAATTAAGTTTAAGTCTACATACATGGGCAAGCGAACGTGCATTGACAAGGCCATAAGCCAACTCCTGGGCAGCACCATGGCAAACCCTGGCTAGAGCAGTATTTTTTACAGAGAACCGGGTCACATAATTGACCATCCACCACAGGAGGACCACTCTTAATATGATTACGTGGGCAAATTGCTGTGCAACGACACGGGCCAAATGGTCCTGGGCAGCATGCTGGCAAACCCTTACTAGAGCAGTGCTGTTCACAAAGATCCCAGTTACAACCTCTAGCATCCACTACAAGCGGACCACTCATATCTGCTTAACATAAGAGCAGAGTAAAAGATGAATTAAATTACACTAGTTTAATACACAAGCACAGTTCAATATATGCATGTACAATACACGTCAATGTAAAAAATGTGAATGCTTTGGTAAATTAACATGCATGGCTAATTAAAGGTAGTTGACAAGCTTTGGAGTTGAATAAATTTCAAACCAGTGGTTAGGGAAACCAACAGCAGGAAGGACGCCACTGCAAATGACTTCACAGAGAACTCCATAATCGAGAGAGAGATAAAAGGCAGCTTTAGTAAAATGTGAATGAAAGACTTCCTGCTTATATCTCTTTATATAATGTTTAAGAGTGTGGCGATGTTATGATGTGCTCTGCACGTGTGACGTGTTCTACCACTTCTTTAAGTGGAGGTTTGCATGAGATTTTGACAAGTGGACTTGCCGAAACTCTTGAATATGCTTCTGGATTCTTTTATGGGTTTATTAAACACTTCATATGGCTTTATTGGAGTTAATTGTGGGTGTGATTTCTGAGAGAAACTGCAACAGTTCTCAATTGAGATTCTTCTTTTTCTTCTTTCTGACTTTTAGTTTCTTACTCGGTGTAAATGACGAAGAACTGAGTGTTCTTAGATCCGTTTGGTTCCAAAAGGGTCCTGACTAGGATTTGTGGATACATAAAAGATAAGTCTATGACTTTATCTTTGTAATTTGAAAATTTTGTATCTTGATTGCCGTTTTGAGACTGTTCTAATGAAGAGTATTATCCAATTTTATATATACATATATAGTGTTGACAGTAGTCATTTAAACCTTTAAGTCTCCGGTTAGAAAAAATCTCTTGCGTTCAATTAGCTTTCGGAAGTTACTAGTTCCATCCTAAAATCATCTAGAGGAAGGTGAATAGGTGAATGACACGGAATTAAAATTATCAATTAAAAACAACAAGTCACTTTTTAATTGTTCTAAATGTTTAATCAATCAAGTCAATTTATTCTATGTTGAATTGCCACAATAATTAATAAAAAAATAAATAAC